GCAACGATCAGCTATGTGCAAAATCTAGCAAAATGTGATATTACGAAAGAAGAGTTGACGGACGCAATAGAATATCTTCGAGGTAAATATATTGAATGTATAAGCAATGGAAAGATATTTGTACGTATTGTTATTGGCCTTGTATACAATATCAATTATATTGAATTCATATTTGCAGATGTCTTGATACAATTTCCGTCCAGTCAGTGTTGACAATCGCGAGGTATTTTACAACGTCAATCGAATATATTTTCCACCAACTATACATAGTCAAGAGTGTATTTGTGCAAAAAATTATGCGTTCATTACGTGCAGTTGGTGCAAAAAACTATTATGTTTTACATGCTTTTATACAGCATTCTATCCGCAGAGTTGCGACAGCATGACCACATTTTATAATACGTAACTTTCATTTGTGTGCCTTATATTTGTCTTATGTGTGTGTGTGTGTATGTGTTTTGATACGGACAAAAACATTTTATTGTAATTAATAAAAAAGTTGTGTTCATATTTGGAAGACCTGACTCTCCTAATTAGCCTTGATTAATAGCGTAGAAACAAAAAAAGGAATTATACATAAGAACAATATAAAAATATTTATTACATGTCTTTACATACGAAAAAAAAACGAACCAGTCGTCGGAGGGACTCGAACGCCGTCGTCGGCGCAAAAGTGTTCGCGGCGCGGGAGCCTCTGTCTGCTCAGCCACGCCGGCTTCGTGAAAGAGTGTCGTAACTTGCGTCCTATGTGGGGCACGGCTCCGCGAGCCAAACTTTAACTGCAAATTACTCGTAAACAAAGACGCATTCACGCATATTATTAGGGCGTTTATACACGGCATCATAGCTATCGAGTGTGCTATGACTCGTGTTGAAATCGATGAAACAGGTTGCGTCATCTCCTTGTGAGCGATAACGCGTCTCGCGCTGACTGTCGCGATGGCGCCTTAGTGCTTTGATGCCGCGCGACGATCAGCGCGAAGCGCGTTATCGCTCAGCCTCTACGCACACAGCTTGCCGCGGAACGTTTATAGGCCGCGATGGGTGTGGAAAACGCCAAACTTTACGCGGTTATTACTAAAAAACTATTACGATTTTCACATTATGGTACAGGATTTTTTTGTTCCTCTCAATTAGCTCTATGTCCCTACGGAGCCCGTGTCCCAAAGTTCTGAGACATCCTGTATATACGAGGGCGGTCCGATAAATACTTAGCCTCACCGCCCGATGGCGCCACTATCGCAAGAGAAATTTACTATCGTGTAGTACATTCTCGTAGACGGCTACTGTCGAAATTTCAGCCGAATCGGACTCGTAGTTTTGTTTTGACTGCGTGTGGAAGCGGGCGTGTCCGCGGATTTTAGAAAAATGGAAAAAGAGCAATATCGGTGATTCGATTCTTGTTTTTGGAAGGGAAATCGCGCAGCGAAATCAAAGAGCGCTTGGATGCTGTGTACGGTGACTCTTCTCCTTCGATGGCGACCATCAAAAATTGGTTTAACGAGTTTCAACGTGGTCGCACGTCGGTTTTTGATGAGCCACGCCCAGGTGCCCCGAAAACGGCTACCACGGAGGATAACATGACAAAAATCCACGATCTCTTATTGGCAGACCGCCGATTGAAGGTGCGTGAGATAACTGAGACAGTAGGCATCTCAAAAGACCACGTGGGTCATATCCTGCATGAAATTTTGGGCATGAGAAAGCTGTCGGCGCGATGGGTGCCGCGTTTGCTCACTCCGGACAACAAGCGCAACTGTGAGACCACTTCAGAGCAGTGTTTGACGCTGTTTAAGCGCAATCCAAAGGAGTTTCTGCGTCGTTTCGTGACCGTCGACGAAACATGGATCCACTGGTACACACCAGAGACCAAGGAACAGTCGAAACAGTGGACTTCACCCGGCGAACGTGCTCCGAAGAAGGCGAAGACTGTCCTATCGGCCGGAAAGGTGATGGCCACCGTTTTCTGGGATTCATAAGGTGTGATCTACATCGATTACCTGGAGAAGGGTAAAACGGTCACAGGGCTGTACTATGCCGAATTATTGGGCCGATTCGACGCCGAATTGCAGAAAAAACGGCCCCATTTGGCGAAGAAAAAAGTGCTCTTCCACCATGACAACGCACCGGCTCACACCTTCGCTCTCGCCACGGTCAAATTGGTCAAATTGGGCTACGAACTGCTGCCCCATCCACCGTATTCTCCAGATTTGGTCCCATGCGACTTCTTTTTGTTTCCAAACTTGAAAAAGTCACTCGCCGGGCAGAAATTTGAGTCGAATGAGGAGGTCATCGCCGCCACGGAGGCCTACTTTGCAGACCTCGAGAAAACGTATTTTTCAGACGGGTTAAAGAAGTTGGAGCATCGCTGGGTCAAGTGTATCGAGCTAAAAGGAGACTATGTTGAGAAATAAATCGCCACTTTTCCAAAATTTTCGTTTTTCTTTTGTAGGCTAAGTACTTATCGGACCACCCTCGTAGGTTATGATATAATTTAGTT